ATTCTTTGTTAATATAATAAACGTTAAAGGGGAGTGGAATGAAAAGATTCTTTACTCATTCTGCCCTTATCACTATCCCTTGCTCACTGTAAGTATCTACTGAGAGTTTGCAAGGATGTTTTATCACCTCAAGATACAAAAACTTCTCACAATTTGCCCCTGAGATGACTGACCTGATTGCCTTCACTTTATTTCCAAAATGGCAGATGCTAATGCATCAAATTCTATACTCTTTCAGACTCAGTGAGATTGCTTTGAATTAGCAGGATTGCATTCACTAGTAATGCTATTACTGAAATAGAAGTATTTGTTTCCAACTCAACCTAAATAAAAGAAATCTTGTATTACACTGAAGAATATCTGTTTTTCATTTTTAAATTATCGTATTGGTAATTTATACCTATTAAATGTTGTATCTCAAGATTTTAATAGGTAAATAATTTTCTACTTTCTGTTTTCCACCAATAGATGGCAGGTGAAGCACTAGAAAATTATTCATTTGATACAGCATGAAGTAACATCTACAGTTTGAAAGTATATATCCGGCTCTAAATCAGTGTTCTCTGATAACTCTTCAGATGTGATCATGATTTAGTCCTAGTCTGTCCATCTTGTATTACAAATTTTAGTCCAAGTTTAGAATTAGCTCCATGTCATATATAAAACTCTTCATTCCTATTTCTTTTGTCCTACTCCATTAGGTGAAGGCAAAGCTTGCACACACCAGCTTTCTCTCTTGGCTGAGAAGGTATTTGTCAGCACAATGTAGCAGCTGTTACAATCGTTCAGGGTCTTAGGACTGAGCTTTCTGTAATTAAACAAGAGGGCTCTGCATTCATACCCTTGTCAGAAATCACACCGATTGTAAGCTGCAACAGAATAGCTTGAAGCTCAAGCTTTGATTTCCAGTTCCATAAAAGCTAGAAACACAGGGAGGGAGTGCGGAAGGAGAGAGAGATAGGTGGAAGAAAGAGCCTACTACACTGACAAAACTTATTCTAATGTGCCTCAATAAGGATGCTCGTAATGTGATAATATAATTCTTCATATATAATGCTGCATTTTTTAATCCATTTTTTTTCTGAAACACAAAAACAGGAGGGATCAAATCTTGTTTACATACCAGCTAAAGGCATATGGTGCAAAAAGTCACAACAGAGTGGTATGAAAAGATAGGGTTTTTCTTCTGCCCATGTTATAATGATTTTAAGGACAACAAGTAATGTGTTGTAGTCAATTAATTGCAGGATCTACTTGAAAAATGAATAGAAGTGTGCATAAACCACACAGTTTGAGGAGTGCAGAGCACAAAAGGATACCTTTCCCTCTAGGCAATCTGCATTTGTAAATGTACATTATTTCTCCTGCAAAATGATTTCCTGAAATCAGTCTGCCTCATAATTGCCCCACTCTTACTAGCAGTCTAAGTATTGATGACTAAGTGATCATTAGAGCTCCCCTGACTTGTATATATCACTGCAGCTCCTCCAGGCTGACTGAGCAGACAGATTTGACTGCTCTCATCCCTGCATGGCAGTCTGGATGATTTCTATTAATCCAATCAGTTCAGTAATCTTTACATTTTTATAAGTCAATTTGGTTTTGTGAGCTCCACTTCTAAGTGTAACTCTCAGCATGTATTAGAGCTTCCACTGTTTCGCTGGCAACAGCAGCAAAACATGGATAAAACCCAAGGCCATCAAGAAGCATCAATGGTTAGACACTGAACAACGAAGATCATGCAGTTGAGTCAGTGACTATTAATCTCTCTCTACGAGTAAGGCTACATAAAAGAAGGGAGGATGTCTGAAACGCCTTCAAATTAACAGCTCTCCAGTGAACTGGGGAAGTTTGGCAGCATATATCATGACCAAAATAAAAAAGCTAATTTTAGATGACCAATTTGGGTGTCTTAGTCTTTCTCTGCAAGAAACCCCAGGAACCTGAACTTCCATCTCTTATCACCTCAGGTAAATACCCAAAATAAGGCAGCATGAATGACCCCTTTAGATACTGTACCTGTCACTGAATGTGAAACAAACGGGTGCAATTAGCAAACAACTTCCCAAGGCCAGGTCACAGCAAAACTAGCACACTACCAGAGGCTTGACAGTAACACGATGCTAAGCTGTACATGATTTTGACTCTCAAATGACAGACTGCACATGCTATCACAACAAAATTATTAAATAATCAGGCTGGTATTTCCCCTTAGCTAGCTTTTGTTTGAAGCCTCTCCCCCTGAAGAGTAAACTTTTCATGCAAACCTCAACTGAGAGCAGTCGGTAGCCAGTGAAACTGCAGAGAAAGGTCTGTAAACAATAACTGCTCTGTAGAGAACAAGCTGACCTTTATAGATGTTAAACAAAACAAAAAGGGTTGATTGATGCTGGGCAGTACCTGCTCTTCTAAATATTAAAACCAAGCAAGTCAGTGGAAGGTTAGTTTCTGAGCATACAGCATGATAAATTATGTCAGTGGAAGGTGGGCTGCGGAAGGGGAAAGCATAACTGGGTAAAATATTTAGGGCAAAAAGCCTGTATCCTCAGCTATAAAAGGAAAAAGTGTGTAAAGCTTACTTCTCTTAAATGGAAATGTTATTTAGACCAGGCCAGTTGCTAAAGTCTCCATGACTCATTTTTTAAAATTCCAATTAATACAATAATATATGGTGTGTTTTTTAGAAAAAGAAATCTATTTGTAAAATCCAAAGGATAATTACAATTTAGCCACAAACATGTTACTAACATAGAGAAGGACAATCCAACCTAGACAGAATCATGGAATCGCTTACATTGGAAAAGGCCCTTCAGATCATTGAGTCCATCCACTAACTCAGCACTGCCAAGTCCCCCCTTAAAATACGTCCCTCATTGCCACATCTATAAGTCTTTTAAATACCTCCAGGGCTGTCGACTCAACCACTTCCCTGGACAGCTTGTGCCAATGCTTGCTAACCCTTTTGGTGAATAAATTGTTACTAATATGCAATCTAAACCTCCCCTGGAGCAATTTGAGGCCATTTATTCTTGTCCTGTCGCTTCTTACTTGGGAAGAGACCAATATCTACCTTACTACAACCTCCTTTCAGGTAGTTTTGGTTTCAGTCTGCCTGTGTCTTTTCAACCCAAGCCAAGACTGCAGAATGCTGCACTTCTTTCTGTATATACTTTGCTCCTTTTTTATGTTCCCTTCTCACAGAAATTTAGCCAGGGGGATTGGGGCCATGGGGAGGGGTTGTGGTGTTCAGTTTAAATACATCTCTTTCTGACACTTTCTTGAATGGGACAGTTTCATCACTCAGCACTTCAAGGAGGTTCCAGGTAAATCCTTTCATTTCTGAAGACGGTCCTCAGTCTGTGATTGTATTTTCAGGTGCAAAAGCAGGTCCTTCCTATATGGTGGATGTAGGAGAAGTGACACAAGAGAAGTAAGCACTGTGCTCTTGTAGTTGCTGGAGCCGGAACAGTTTTCCCTCCCCTAGGTGCTAGGGGGTAAAGGGCCCCTTACATTTCAGTTTGCTGCAATTCAGAGATTCAAGATCTGTAGCATTAAAGTCTTGGGATACAAAGACCATTCAGTTGACTGACCAGTTGAAGGGCAAAGATAAGAAGTGGGTCAGCAGGAACAGCGTGGGTGCCAATAGCACCCACTTCCTGTGGTGGAAGATGAAGAACATCCTTATTGAACCCAATGATGTTAGAGAGGGACCATCAAAAGCCCTTGAGGACTTTGTCAAGAAACAATTCCACAGGCTCAAAATTGTGTAAGAGAGAACAGTTCTGCAGGTGTCTCTATCCTAGAGTGGTGTCCATTCCCAAACTGCAGTTTACCATTGACAGTCTCTGCTGCTCCCCAGCTCCTGTACAGTCCCCTGCATCAAACCTGTCTTCCCATCTACAGTAGCAAGTCTCTAGGCATAGTACACCCACTATCACCTCGACATGGTTCTGAAGCCAGTAAGACATTGGCCAGCTGAATGTTCACATTCCCTTTTGCAAGCAGGGAGAGGCCTAGGAGGGATAAGCTGTCACTTCATCAAACTTGCAGAAGAAGCTACAGCTCTCATCAAATGGTAACAGTAATTTACAGGCAAGTACAACACTGTCTCTGAAGCAAAAGGCACAACCCCACAGCACCTTTCCAATACTGTAAACTAGGACCTAACCATGTAGTGAAAGCAATGCCCAGGACAGAAGTACCTTAATACAAAAATATTTATGCCAAAAAATGTAATGCTGTCCTTGTTATGCTTTTTATATGTTTTAACCATGGTTTCTAGAAGACAGCAAAAAAGCTTTGGACAGCATTAGTTATTTGCAATACAGGATGACTTGGAGGAAGTTAAGGATCATATCATGATTATTCCAGTAATCTGAGAATCTGAGGTGAAAGCATGAGATCATTGAAGTCAAGAGGTGTTTTCACTTCAGTGGGACCGGTATCTCTCCCTGGCTTTTAAGCAAAAATACAAATCTTGTACCTCTAAGAAAAGGAGTTAATAATCAACATGGTACATACTTTTTTGTCTAAAGTGACACAAGAGCATTCTGCTAATGAAACATGAAAGTGCAGGTACATGTCTTTGGATTGGCTATTGGGTATGGTCTAAACAAAACTGTGGGGAGAAGAAATTACTTTTCAGAGAACTCCCAAAAGCAAATCTATGATCACATTAGGAATCTGCATTAAAGGGACAAAGTAGGTTGTGAAACCAGTGCAGTAAGGTGTAAAGATAACCAGACAGGAGAAAGAAACAAGAAGTTATCCAACAATAAAGAAACAAATTCAGAAAATCAGCCATAATACTTGTTGATGTGGACTGATTTTCAGAGATACTGAGCTGAGTTTGATGGAGGCTCAGGATCAATGAATATCAAGGAAACTTATTTTATTCCTGTGCACTATCTAACACACTGCATAGTATCCCATTCATTTTAGCTGCAGAGAAATTACTGAAAACTTTTACATTGGCCTGGTTGCAAACCAAAACTATTTACCATTGGTGTGGCCTCTGTGAAATCCATCAGGAGGTCACCTGGCTCCAAAGCAAATGTACTTCCAGCATCTGTGGAACTCTAAAGGCAAAAAAGAAACCCAGCATTGAAAAAGAAAAAAAAATGTAATTTTGTTGGTTGTTTTTTGTTGTTGGGTTTTGTTTTTTTGTTTTAATTCCTTAAAGCACAGATTGCCAAATGCATTTCAAATTTCACTATGTTTTTTAGGTACAGCTACTCAGCAAAGATAGACAACAAAATTATGAAACTTTTAAATCAAAGTAATTAATCGTGATCCACTGCCCGCTACTGTGGAGTCTTGGAGCAGGCTCTAAATATTTCCTTACACAACAAGATAAACATATTACTACAACTCTGCATTTAAAACTACTCCTAAATGTAGAATTATTCCATCTAAGGAAAACCTGTTACCACAACTCCCTCCTACCTTTCCTGAACACTCTCCCAGCTGACATAAGTTCATCTCTTTGCATATTACCTTGCCACCAGGCGAAACCTGTGTTTGTCCTTCTGACGTCTGTGGTGTACATGTTTTCTGTGACCCAGGAGATGCTGAAGATACAGGTGTTGATGCTGCTGCTGCTGCTGCCAGTGCTGGAGGAAGGTCGTCTTCATCACTGCAGTTGATAAAAGCAGACAGATCTTCTCATTAGAAAATGTCACTGAACTTTGACCGTGCTTGTGTCGGAAGAGGCACTGGTAACCTGTACGTCTGCTGTAATGCTTTGAAGCAAAGTTCCATTTACTCTTCCATCTGTAATGCAGCTACCTTTTTAAGTAAATCAGATTTTTTTTTAAGCTTTAAAGATTCCTCAAAAATCGATTGGCTAGGTACCTCTCATCTGTAAATGAAATCTTATGGTTATTATGTGCAAATAGCGTTTCTATGGATGATGTATATATGCATAAATGAACTGATTAAATATTACTCCATTTCAGTGTTTATTCTCTTCTATGGAGGCTGGCAGCATTGATCAGAAAGATCTGGTGAGATCCATCCATGGGACTGCTTCACTGGCTTCAGACAACACTAGCTTTGACACTCATTATGCAGCTAGTCTGTGTTACTATTTTCAAACTGTTTTTAAAGGACTTTGATTGACTCCAAAAAGGATCTCTTCAGAAACATTCTTGTGAGGGTTTCTTTTTTCCTGTCCCATTTAGTCCATTTACAGAGAAAACATTTTATTTAAGATGAGGTTGCCTGCTTCCCCTGGGCTTCAGGCCATCAAGTTGAACTCTTTCCATGTCACCTACTGTCAGTACTAAATGAAAGCCAGTAAAGAATGTTATAGCCTCATTTACTTTTGCAGAGCCTCATTGACTACAAATCACTGGGATCAGTCAGCCCCGAGTCAGGATGTGTCCAATTGTTAATTGCAATTGCATTGAGGTAAACAGAGTCATAATTTGGTCTACAGGAGCCTTATAACTTGGGATGATGTGTGAAAAGACTGCATCTTGACAGTTTAATGCATGGAAAGAAATAATGAGAAAAATTACTTCTGCTCATAAAACAGCACCAATTTTAACTACCAATTAGGTAGTCACAGTGCACAGAAGCCTGCTATACCAGCTTGACAAACAATTCCAGAACTAAACTGTATTTGATTTAGTGCTACTTGAAGGCAGCATGCCTGGACAAAACAAAAAACTTCAAAACTGCATGACATACAGGTTACACAACCTCATGGTGGGTTATTTAGTAATGTTTTTTATTATGATATAAAGTTTTGATGATTAATGTTATCTTTTCCAAGCCTCATTTTTTATTTCTTCTGGGTAAGGATAGAATTCAGCACCAGAGTATGCACAGTACACAGGCTTTATAATGGAAAGAAAATGCAAAATCTTTTGGACCTGTTGAATAGACATTTTATTAATGTAACAAGCCCAGAGTTGGGCTGTTGACCTAGTTAATCTCTCTTTCAGAAACATGTAGCTGACATTTCCTCAGTCCTTGCTCCCCACTCTCAGCAGGAATACACTGGCACACTCCCCATCCTTCCTGGGTAAAGCTGCTCTGGTGTATACAAGCAAGCGGTAAATTAAGGGTTAGGGTCAACTCGTCAGTCATCAAGCTATTAGCACATTACTGTAAAACTGAGAATTGGCCTTCACTGTACTACTTTCACAGTACTCCTTTGCTATTTCTTTGCATTTCCCGTATTTGCATTGCAGACACAAGATAATTTAAATTGAATAGAATTTGGGTCTACAAAAAGAAAAAAACATAGCCTGAATTTTTAACTAGGGAGTCTTCTGCCCTACACATGGCCACAGTCTAGGTGATACCTGTGGCTAGATGTATTTATGTGCTGTTCCTCATATCTAACACTGGACAACTGAAAATCTGCATGGGAGCAAGACATGTTTAAAACTGGTTCCTTAAAAACTCATAAAAAATTCATTGTGTGTTCCTACATGTCAGTCAGTCTCCTGGACAAACATCAATTTGGTTAATAGCTCATTATCCTCCTAGTTTCAGTTTGATTAATTCTTCCGTTTCTTCTCCTAAATAATTTTTCAGTTTTGGCGATGCAAATCGTTAAAAAGCCAGTGTTCTTAACAGTGGGACAGAAAAAACCTACATATAAATATTTGTTAGAATCCTTCTGGACAGAATGAAAACTTTTGCTAACGTTGCTATATATCTACTGACATTAGAATGTTAAATTGCTGGAGGGACTAACAGTTGCCCTTCCGTATAGAAAGCATACATATTTCTTCTTTATTGTGGCATTGGTATTCTTGTACTAATAAGTTTATGCTGACATTATCCCCTTTCCCCCCTAATTTCTGGTGGCCTTGTCTGTCTTTACACAGAAGGACAATTCAACAAAATGATTTCCACTTCTGTTCAGTACCTCACATCTCTAGAGACTCTCAAATTGGATGAACTATGTCTAAATGGGAAGCCAAAGCCCTATAGATCACTCTTGCCAGGACTAAGAGACTTAGCTTTGCTGACTGTAGCTGTAGCAGGCTCAGCAATTTCTGCAAGTGACAAATCACAGAGAGAGAGGGTGCACTTTCTGAGAGGGAACGGCTGACAGCACTGCTTGTTCACTCAACAATTGAGGATTGTTTTCCTTATTTTGCAAATGGGGTTGTAATGAAGCCGACAGAGCAGCTTGCTCCAGCTCACACCAGGTCTTTGACATTTCATGTGGTAAAAAGGCTTTTAATTCCTAACCTATAAGCTCAGGAAAAGGTGAACGGCCTGCAAAGGTGAATGGAAAGCAAAGTCATTTTGTATTAAAAGCTTGAAGATTCTCAGTGATGAAAGGAATGGTATTGGTATAAGATCATTATCATGTAATTGCACTCATGCCTTTCAGAAGCCATAGCTAGAGCAATAATTAGCATCCCCTTTCATTTTCAGCTGTAGTAGGCAAAACCACAAAGATAGTTACTCACAAACTGTACTGCCTCGTTAACTTCCTCACACGAGGAGCTTTAACCTCCTGCTTTTCTGTAGGGCCAGTTGATGGTGTAGTTTCAGGTCTCACTGGAGCTGGACTTCTAAAAATAGCAAGAAAAAAATACGTCATACAGTCTTTATTTAAACTACTTCAGGCACATCAATAAAGTTCTAACTCATCAACACTTATTTATCTTGCAAAGTGGCAAGTGCCCATTGAAGTTCATCCTTTTGCTCCATTTATAGTTCACAGGCCAGTGTGCATGAACAGAAAAGGATGTGTGAACTCACCCTCCTGTGCCAGGCATACCATTTATAAAAGCAGCAACAGATTACAAATACAGAGCCTATGTAAGAGACCATGTGGAAATGTCACTGTTTCCAAAATACCACATTTTAGTAACAGACCAGCAGTTCCATCATGCCAGAAATATTTTTACAAAACATATGTTTAACAAAAACTATTTTATGAATTGCAAAATCTGTTCTGCTTAAAAAAGTTTTTACCTGAAATTAAACGTTACGCTTCCGCATTTGAAAGAGCAGCTCAAGGGAAATGAACTAACAGATTTAATCCAAGCAAAAGGATCAAATCTTTTCCTACTTGGTAGAAAAAAAAGCAAAACTCAGACATGTTTCAGATGCTCATGAACATGAAATACATCTGCAGAGCTCCAGCAAAGGACAGCAATGGCAGTGAAGACGCCCACATGAAAGGATCTTCTCTTTAAGCATTTAACATAGTGTTAACTAAGACTTGAATACAAATATTATAAATACTAAATACAAGATCTTCATGACCTTGAGAGGAAATCATTTCAACCATGAGCTTGATGGACATGAAGACCCATGAAACATCTTAAATATTGCTTTTATTTGAAGCAACAGGTTATGACTAAATACATCATATGTGTACTACAAAAGCTATACTCATTTATACACATGAAAAGTTTTAAAGCTTTAAGTCTGAATTAATACTGAAAAAAAGTTTAACATGAAAAATTTCACTCAACTGTGAATAAAAGTGTATGAGATACAAACAGGACCTACTCTCTAATCCAACAAAAAGCTGAAAAACTTATTATTTTCCTTTGAATATTGCAAATTTTCAAGAAGGGAAAAAATAGGCAAGTAAACATTAGACACACCTACACCATTTCAATCAGGAATTGCTCAGATAAACTTTACTTACAGTTTGTATCGTGTCAGTATTCCACTCACTTATGTGGCAAAACCAGTACTATTTTAAATGAAAAAACTTCTTTCCTTTTTTTAGAACATTTTGCCATAACCTTTGTTAGAGGCTGGACGCAGTGACTGTCTTTTCCCTGACATTTATCAGCAAACAAGCACCGTTTACTTGCACATTCTGAGAAGCTGCAGGTTAGCTAGGGTGTAAATTGAGGTTACCATTGAATGAAAAGGAGCAGTGACAATGCCTCTACCCAAAGAGGCCATTAGCACAAGATGAAATGTTACACTAGTACTACCAATTGCAGAGCTGGATGTTTGCCCTCATTAAAACCTTCCTTAAGGTTAGCTTTTTCCACATCAGACTAAAAATTCCAAGACACCTCCTGTTTCATCTCCAAACACTCTTCCTCAGTCTGAACTTGCTCAAAACTGTTGCTACTCTCTCATCAGCAACCAGATGCAAGAAGTGCCCAGTTTGATTAACCCAGAGCCTGATATGTGTTTTAAAAATGGCAGGCTTTTCCTTTTACACAAACTCTTAAAAAATATCATTGATATTCCCGAAAAAGAAGCAGAATAACTTCTGTTACTACCTTTTGATTTCTACAGCCAAAATTCTTATATGGAAAGACATGATTCGTGAAGAGAAGCCTTGTAATTATTTTGACTATTTAAATAGAGTAATTATGTGCAGATATGACCATTTCAAGTTTATAGTTCTATGGAAACTACACAGTTATATAAACTACTATAGACCTATATAAACTATATAGCTTGAGAAAAACCCAAAGTGTTAAAGGATCAGCAGGACACAGACTTAAAAAGAAAGAGAAAACATACAGTGTATTACAGTTCCTTTATAAGGTTCTTTTTCAATGTCATTAATTCATAAGAAACCTTTTCCCTGTAACAATATCCAACCACTACAGCATACAAATGAAGGTACTGAACCAAGGCAGAGTTACTTAATGACCTGGCACCTTACATAAAAATCTGTCACTTCCTGGTGAGAATGACAATAACAACCACAAATGTCAGCATGCAGTGGCAGGTCATCAGAAACTGCCTGTGCACCGAGAGCCACAGCACACTCCTGAGCAGCAGCCAGCATACTCTACTGAACCAGCTTCAGCTTGTTTCACATGCCTGCACAGCAACACAAACATGCCCTAGAGAGAGATCCCCCCCAAACCCAAGGAATTTGTAGCAGTGAACAGGGCCACTGAAACCAAATTGCTCACAAAAAACATACACTGTGGAACATTTCAAGTGACCACAGATGTCCACTGATTTAGTTTCAATCTTCCTTGAGGACATGATTCTCATGCTCATGCTGAGGGACCCTTCCCCTTTCTGAGTAAGAGTTTGCCCATTAGGCTATTATGCAAAAAGATAAAGCTTCCTCCCCATCCTTCCACAGAGCACAGTAGTCTGAACTATGGTGTGGGTAACTGGCTCAAGGCATCCAGTCCAAACAGTGTTGCATATACAAAAAAGACAGGGATAACAAGTATATGTTCTGGCTGCTGACTGAGAATCAGATGGAACCTATGCATCAAAATCTCAAGCAACACCTTGGCTCAGGTGTAATGGGGAGACCAGTTTGCAGGGCTGGGACTACATCACCCCTTTGGGTACTGTGGCTTCTACAGACTGACATGCCTTTCTTGTCTCCTGCTTAGGTATCTCTGGGCAGACCTCTGTTCTTGCTTGAAACATGGCAAATGAGCCATGTGGGAGCAAATGATTGCCTACCTAATAAACTGAATGGGATTAAATAACTTCCCTTTCCCTGGAGGATCCAGTTCAGGATTTTAAAACCATCAAAGTCTGATGGGGGAGCACATTTTCTGCATTTGTCTTTAACAGGTTTTCCTCTCTTTCTGTCTGTTTGGGCCTATTTTGTCATCTGGAACAATCTGTCTCCCTCCATCTTCTTAGACTAATGCCAAGAGGTAGAGGCTAAAAGTCCCATGATTTACAAGGAAACAGCCATCTGCATGAAGGTTGACCTGGTTTCAGGTGCTGATTCATGGAAAAAAAAAAAAAAAAAGAAAAAGCCTCATAGGCTGATTTTGGCTTAGAACTCCCTTTGAGTGGGAATATGGTAGTGAAAACTTGGGAAGGATAAGCAAGGAAAAAAGGAAAGAAGAAGAAAAATATTTGGTGGATACATTCTCTTGTATATTGAAGACCAAGCCTAACAAGCTAAGCAAACATACACAAACACACACATTTTTCCCATGTCTGTGCTCTAAGGGTTTCAAAACATTTCTTTTCCAAAGGTCATCTGAGGTGAAGAAACAATAATATGTTTTTTTTTCACTTCGATAAGGTAGCTTTTCTCAGAAGGCAGGTTAGTTCTCCAAAACATTACCTGGACATTTGAAAGCTATTGCCAGCATCAAACTTTTCAAATAAAGCTTTTTTCTTCTTTTTACCTCCCTCACCCCCTCCCTATAGATTGCAGATGTGTAACAAAGTCCCTTGCTACAGAGGAGCAGCCTAATGCAAAGCCAGCTTGTGGACTTTCCTTACCCACTTACCACTTGAGTTCTGTTTCTTGTAAAGGAAAAGATTCCCTCCCCTCCTTTGTCCTTATAATGAAAATGTATGTGCAGTCTAGACAAAACTATGATGCTCCTGTGCTCCAACGGATAGATAATGGTGGTACAGAATCTGTTCTTCTCCCCTGGCTCAGGGTAATGTTGGAGGTCAACACCTGGTATCTAAGGTCAAACCAAGCTACAAATCCTGCTTCTCCTCACAGCAACCAGGACAGCCATTACACATGCTGTGTAAGAGCCCAGGTGCAGTGTAAGGGACACAGGACAGAGCCAAAGAAATGCACCTCAATGGGGTATTTCATCAGCTCAAAGGTCATCATTTGAAAGGTCTCAGTACTGCTTCTTTCTCTGTAGTTCGGAGATTAAGAATACAATTACAAACAATTCATCAGCATTAGGCTTCAGGCAACAGATCTGTCAAAGAGGTCTTTAATACTCATAATGAAGTCAAAGACCATACCTAGGTGTCCTATCTGCAACCTTTAAAGTGGATTGGCATGCAAAGGCTATTATGAGTTCAGCTTGAAGTTATGACTTTGATGCAGAAATTGCTGGGTGAGGTTCCTGTAAAAAGCTAGAGCAGCAGATCCGTTAACCATGGATTGAGACCAGAGTGATGTTTATTTAGCTATTTGTTTTATTTTTGGAAACATTTGTCGAATTTTTTCATTTGGAGAATGTTTTTTTTTTTTTTTTTAGGATAAAGATTGAATTAAAAAGGAGCTTTTTAAAAGCAATTAAAATTTGTTAGGAAGAAGTCAAAACAGATAATGGTTTTAGTTTTTCTAGAATAATTTACAGTACATTTAGAAGGAGATTTTTAAATTTAATGTTTCAGATTTTGCCTCATAGAGTTAAGTCCATTCTAAGTCAAGGAAACATAGCCTGCTTGCATTCACTGAAGTTCATGTTAGGTAAGACTAAGAACATAATTTTTGATCAGCTTCAATTCTGAACTGCCTACAAGCTCTTTTGTGTACATCTATTTTTCTGGGGAGCCGAAGTCTTTGACTAGAGAAAACAGGCTGTCCGTAATCATCCAGGTGATATGCCAGGTAGCATGAAAGCTACCCTGACAGTCACTGGAAGTATACGTATAAAAAAGATACTGAGGTGCTAGTTTCAGATCCAAAATGTGTACGGATTTGGCAAACATCAGTACACTTTGTACCTTGCTTATACAGTCATATCCCAAGAGGACCTGCAGAGAGGCAAAGTTCTCTGAAAAAAATAGTTCAGATTCACTTTGCACAAGGTATGTTACCAGGACATTAGCTCAGATACCAAAAAATGACAATTAAAATGTTAATATAGTTTGTGCAGGTGAGAACGGAAAGGGA